CTCCTTGTAAATTTATTTTAATATAAAAATTCATAAATAGTTGCAACTCAAAGTATTGCAACTTAAGTTGCAACTAGATAAAAATTTTAAAATAATTATGGGAACCATCTTTAATTAAGATGCTGGAGTTTTTGGCAGGAATGAATAACATTACAAATTGATGTTTCTGTGTGATAAGAAATGTTTAGAGATTGTAAATATGCCTATATCATTTTTTGATCGAAATATATTACACATAACAGATATATTAAGATACTTCAAATATGAATATAATTCTGCTATTAGCTTTAGAACTTTACTAGTATGATCCATACTACCTTTGAAATCTAAATGGATTATACAGTGGCTTCCAAAAGAAACGCAAGTAGAGTTGCTTGCCTTTAAAAGCTTATAACTCACCAATTACGAATGCTAGAAACATGCAGACTGACTACTAAAAAAAAAAAAACTGGCACTGGATCGGATCCGATGTCGATCTACTGACAGATTTAAACGAATTTTAGTTTGTTGGAATTACATATTTTCATTTGTCTTTATAGGGGTCCCAATAATTCCTGTATGGCGAAAATTGAAGATCGAAAAGCAAATTAAGTAATCATCTTTAATTTTAAATTCAAACGTAAATGACAATACAACACATAAATAACGAATGTAAATATTTTTCCGTATTATTATAACCACTGTTTTATAAGTTTAATAATGATAATTTAATATTAAATAAATAATTTTATTTATTGACGCTTATAACTAATTTACTTTTTTTTAAAAAAAAATTAAAAATAAATCTACATAAACCGACTTCATTTAATATTTAAAGGGAAATACCTCTTTGTTGTAATGATTCAATTGCTTTGGGATAACCCTTTAAGGCAGCGAGTTTAAGATATTTAATTCCTTTTTCTTTTTTGTTTTTAGATTTGTTTTGATAATAAATATCTCCTAAATGATATAAAGCTGTTTTATTTTCATTTTCTGCCGCTTTTGTTAAATATTCCATGAAAATTTTCCGATCAGATTTTCGAATAGCAAAGGCATAATTAAGTTGAGCGTCAGCATTACCAGCATCTGCTGCAATTTTATATAATTTTATAGCCTCTTCTTTATCTGTTTCGACGTGATATCCCTCCCATAAGTAATAAGCTTTCCAATATATTGCTGTTTTATCACCAAATTCCGCGTGAGCATTAAAACAGTCCCAACATATTTTATTTTGTTCTTTTGTTCTTGAATTTTTATTTACCGAATGAAGGTTCATTCCTTCGTTTAGAGTCAACAATTCTACTACTTCTTCATCATCGTCATCCTCAAGAATTAAATCCAAATTTTCATCGTATTCAATAACATTTTCCGTATCAGAGATGTTTCTTGGAATTTCCAAAGATGTAACTTTATTTTGTTCAAAGGGGATCATTGGACTGTTCCCATTGGTAGAACGGGATTTAGCCAATGATTCAAAGATTTTTGTAACGCCTGGATCTTTTGGGCGGATCCGATGATCATCTTGCCATGCTGATGTGATTATCTCAGTAAAGCCTTCAATAATATCACTTGGACCTTTCTCAAATTTTAAAGTCTCTCGATTTCCATTGAGAACATATTCTTCTATTTGTTCAGAATCAATATTGTCATACGGAATTCTATTAAAAGAAAGTTCCCAAAGGAACATTCCAAAACTGTACATTTCGCATGAATAATTATATGGATTATCGCATTTTTTAAGTTTTTCTGGCGCCATCCAACGAATCATTTGTAGAACATCCGTGATTTCACGAGATTCGGTATTTACTTCACGACTGAGATTAAAATTAGATATTTTACACGTGTATCTATTATTAGTTACCTAAAGAAAAGTCAAATAAAAAAAACTTTAAAATAATCAAACATGACATAAAATAAATGATAAAATTAATTGATACGAACCAGCATATTTTCCGCCCTTACATCATGGTGCAAAATACCTGTAAAGAGGAGTGATTAAAATTTAGCAACTTTTGAAACCATACATACTATGCTAATTAGCAATTAAAAACGATCAAATTTTCAAATAATAAAAAAAAAAAAAAAAAAATTACCAATGGCATGAAGGTAACCAAGACCTCGAAAAACATCTCTTGCGATTTCTAATTTGATCTCCCATGAAAGTTTATGATTTTCGTACACATTTTTTAAATTATTTAATTCAGACCATTCCAAAATCAAACAATCTCCAATATCCAATTTTGAAATTCCATAAAATTTAATCACGTTTGGACATTCATGTAATTTATTCCAAATAGACAAAGTAGCACGAATCTTTTTTGATTCAGGAGTATCACCTTGGATAGCTTTAATTTTTTTACAAGCCACATCAAGATTTTTATATTTCCTCATTTCGATATTTTCATGAAATTTGGGACTGTCCGGATCTGAAATTTCATTGCAATGAATCTCTGGTGGTCTTAAATTATCGAGAAGTTTATTTTTATTGTCTTTAGGTTCAACCATCATTACTCGTTCAACCATTTCAGTAAGAGCAGAAATATTTTTTTCCATATTATTAATAGTTTCACAATGCCTATTAAATTCTTCTAATTCCAATTTAAATTCATTATCTTCTTTGTCACGACTAATAAATTGTTCAATGGATATAGCCAGTTGCAATGCTTTATAAGCATGATCAAAATCATCTCTAATTTCATTAAATTGATTTGTAACAACATTAGCAATAAAATATTGCTTTAGCCCTTTTTTCCCAGAAATATTTGAAACAAATATTTTAATATTTTCTAATACTGCAATAAAATGAACCAATGCATTATGATAACTCGTTTGTCGTCGAAATTTATTATTATCATCATTCACGTGTCTTCTTAATAGTTTAATTGAGGTCATTGCCAAATCTACCTAAATTATTAAAAGAAAAAAAAAATTTTTTTCTTTAGACCCTTAAAAAAAAAAAAAAATTTGAAACATTACTCACCCTATCAGCCATTAACCTGCAAATCTTTTCATTGTATTTTGCTCGTTCATGAATCTTCATAATTTCCATTGACAAATTAATAATTGTGTCCAAGTACGGCACAATTTTTGCAAGTTCAGCTGCAGTCTTCAAAATTGTAATTCCATTATCCATGAAACATTCCTTGTTGGATACTTTAAATTTTGACATCCTTTTAATCATTCTAAGACCTTTAGATTTATCTGATTTAATGTTGCCAGGTTCGGTGGTTACTTTAGGTGAACTTTTATTTAAAATATGCATCTTTGTCGGCCTGCGAACAATTTTAAAATGAATTTTTTTTTTTTACAAAAAAATGAGAGAAATTTGTATGTTTTTTAAGTTTAGTTTTTTTTAAAAAAAAATATTCATAAAATTTTCACGATATTTATAGTGTTATAGCATTTAAAGATTTACACAATTTCCTTACAAAGGAACAAACAATTAATCATTTGTTTTAATTCCATTGAAAAGAATACAATGTTTTACATATTTTTTTCGTTGTCAAGGAGGGACCAATCAATAAATATGCGTCTAATTTTCCCTAACAAGGAAACAATTAAAATGCATACAATGTCCTGCATACTTGTTTTTGAGTTCTAATTTCTTTTTATCAATACTTTATTGGTGCATTCTGTAAAAATTAAAATTTTACATTCTAACCGAATTTGAAAGTTAGTTTCCAAAAATAAAATAATTAATAAATAAAGAAAACCTGAAACAAAAAATTTCTTTTTACTCGGATTTAGTAATTCTGAAAGCCCCTCGATTTTTTGTCGTTATTTCTTTCATGATTATTACTCAGAAAAAAAATTATATATATTTGTTCGATTTAGAATTTGAAATTTAATTAAGAAATACATTTTTGCCACAGAAAATTTATTTAAAATTGCGGTATCTTTCCGTATGATCCTTATGCTCATTTTGTGATAATTTCTTTTCATTTAATTGAAGGCAATCAAGGGTTTACCAATTGCTAAAGATAAATTTTATCCGAGGGATTAAACAATTATCGTAATCCTTTTTCATGTTCATGCTATCTGACTAAATGCTAACCTTTTTTTTTTAATTCAATCAGAATCCATTCAATTCGCTAATGTTGTTCCTGATTGGTTAATTTTTTCTTAGAAAAAAAGCATTAAAAGTATAAATGATCAATGTGGAATATCTCGAATTAAATATTGGCAATTCCTTTTTTTTTTACTCGTTGAAATTTAAATAAAAAAAGTCGGTCATGTGAACTCCATTTTTTAAGAATTTAATATAAATAACATCATTATAAACGAGTACTCAAAATTTACATATAACGAGACGCGTCATTTCATTTTAAATATTATAAATTTATTTTTAAATTGTAGGAGGCTTAATCCGAAAATCCAAAAAGCTAACGCATATATATATATAATTATTTATTACCAATGTGTGCTATTATTAAAAATACAATCTATAACTTATGCAACTTTTAAGTCAGAGTTTAATACATTTAAATATAAGATATATTAATTAATTAATTAATTATAATTATCTTTATTTATTAAATGACTCCTTATTATTATTATTATTATTATTATTAACTTTAGTCGGTTTTATCGGTTTTAATGGTTTCCAATTTATATTATTACCTTTTGGAACGGGAAAATTAAAGCCATTGAATGAATATGAAATTAATAAAGCTAATATGATTTAAACTAAAAATAATTTACCTGTTTGTAATGTAATCGGGACAGAAGTATTATTATTATTAGTCGATAAATCTATTAACTGATTATTATTATTAACATTTTTTGGCTTAATTCCAATTACTGATGATGTACCTAAAAATCAAATAAATTAATAATAAAGATTTCATTTTATATATATATAAAAAAGGTAATTATTTAATTACCTAAATTATCCTCAAAGTTTGGAACACATGATAAAAATTCATCATCCTCATCCAAAAAAGGGTTTGATTTATTATTAGGTGTAGATTTTTGATTTGAAGTTATTGTCTTCATAGTATTTTTATTATTAGAATTTACATTATTATTAATGTTTTTACCATGGTTAGTTTTAATTGGAGTTAATATATTTGAATTAGGTTTTGGCGGAGGAGGAGGGACTGTTTTTTGCACAAAGTTTTCGTGAAACGGATTACTAGAAATATTACGGAATTCCTTATCAATATCATGCTTATCGACAATCAGTGATGTTTCAGAAGAAGCTTTTGTTCAATAAAAAAAAAATAATATATAATTATGAATGATCGTTTCTTGCAGAAAGCATTATTATAAATTTTTACTTAAACTTGATTTACCTGAATCATTTATCCACCATTGATATGTCTCCGAACTTGGAGGCGGCACTAACGAAAATTAAAATAGTTAATAAAAGTAAAATAAAAAAAATAAACAATATATTTATAGATACTTAACAGTCTTCCTCTTTTCTGTTGTTATTTTCGTCAAGATCGATCAAAACACCAACAACAGGTTCAACTTTGTTGTCTGCAAGTTTCCTTTTAATAGTTCCATTCCCAGATTTATCTACTAGTAATGGATTGTTGACATGTCTGACATTCTTTGATAATTTATCCCATTTATCTTCTTCATTTGACGAACTGTTAATAAAATTCGAATTGACTTGTGATACAAGCTGCAATTTCTCGAAATATAAATCTCTTCGTATCTTTTCTTTTGCGGCTTCATCATATTTGATTACCTGATGATGAATTCATAATTAATTAAACTTAATCAAATATCGGACAATAGATTATGACTTACTTCAATATCAAATGAAGACATTACTAAAGAATGGAAAATAATCAAGTTATGGTAAACGTATAAATTATAAAAATAAATAACTACGATAAATTCAAAAATATTTTACCAGGCCGATGGTCTGACAACCTTATTTCAGCTCGCGAATAACCAATTTGTTTAATCGTATCACCATTATATAGTATTCGATCTGTTAAGCAGGAATAGAAATGTATGAGAACTAAGAGACAAAATCGTTGAAATCAAATACAACTACGACTAACCGGTCCAAGCCGGGACCCGAGCTTTCTCACTAATAAGATACAAACAAATAAATAAATTTACATGACAATAATAATGAATGACATAAAATGAAACTTGTATACCTTGTATCATAATTATCGGTGCCATTATCAAATTTATAGGTTGGATAAAAAGTTATAGGACCTTCTATGTAATCGGTAAATGCCTGACCCCATTCGATTTGTTTAGTTAACTACAATTAACACATAACATGAGCCACACCTTTTTTTAAAAATTGATTAAAATATTTATAAAATACCAAATAAAATAATAACCTGATCGGCTTTCAACAATTTATGAAAGTCATTAACTGTTATGAGGTTTCGAACCTAGGATGGACATGACAAATAAGCATATCATGCATAAATATAACTAAATCTATTTAATTAAAATACCTCCTCGTTGCCCAAGGATATTCGATAATTGAAGTCACCTAACCAGATAATTATTCTAAATAAATAAATAAGTAAAGAGATATTTAATATTTGATATAATAAACCTTCAAAAAAAATAATTCTATGATTCTTACTCATGATGTTCAAGGCGACGACCATTTCTGAAAAGCAAACCATCGTGTATTGTTTTGTAATCTCTATTTCTTTCTTCCCAATTAGAATGCCCTAAAATTAATTAAATAGTTTATTAAAAATACAATAAATATTAATGAGCTTATATTTATTTCTTACCAGAAGCTAGATGTGCAGTAACAAAACATATACTCGTGTCATGGAAATCAAGTCTAATAGCAACAGCTCCTTTATTTCCTGCCATCCCACCCAATCCAGTCTGCAATTATTAACAAAATTTTCAATCTGAATATCATAATCGAATAATCATATAAAAAAAAGTAGAAAACTAACTTTTTTCATTATATATTCCACATTACGTATATTGGATACTATATCTGCTCTTGCGTATATAACAAGAGCTGTTCCAACAAGTTGGCCGGATCTCAATATGACATAATTAGAACGTTTATTAGGTCGACGTTCTAATGTTTCGCTTATCTCTTTTTCCCAAATTCGTCTAATAATACATAATCAATTTAAGTTAACTCATATAAAATCAATAATGTTTTAAATAACATTACTTACAGTTTTTCAGGATCTGCTGAAACAATCTTTTGATATTATTTATTTATTTTAAATTTTAAATTAAAAAAAAAGGAAGTTCAGAATATATTCACTACCAACTCTTTGCTTTCAAAACCGTAAAATAAACACCTGCTGGGGCATTAGTTCAACAATCTCTTGGAATCCAATAACAAAAAGTTCGGGTTCCGGATTATCTAATTATTACATTCATTAGAAAATTAAATTATAAGAATATTATTGGTATTATTAAATTTTATATATAATAACTTTACATACGATAGTCAAAGGAAAAAAGCCAAGAAGACAATGATTCTCCATGTGGCAGACGTCCGTTAAGATTATATGAACTTACGAATACATTTATTGTAGATTTCGAAGAATAGTCGTTTATCCTGTAAAATAATATTTACAATAAATAACTAAAATAAAATAATTAAAATAAATAAATAAATTAGCACGATTATATACCTTTTTTGTATATCCTCCAATACTAATTCGTGAACTGGGTCGTGTATCTCGATTACTTTTTGATACATTAATTTTCCCTGTAATTAATGAAGAATTAAGTCAAAGAATAAACAAAATTTTTAATAATAATTTTTTGAATAACTTACAAGTAGTAAATCGATAACTTCTTGTTTTGACTTATCTTGGAAGTTATTAATATAAAACCTATTTACAGACTTGGTCGCATCTCCTAGAACGCCTGTAAAATAACATACCAAATCAATATGCAACTTTAAGAATAACTAATTATAATAATTGTATACAAGTATGATTACCTGACCAAGTAAGCTTTCCGCTACGGGTAAACTCCGACTTAAGAGCCCCCGTTCCTGCATAAATTTTTGACAAACTGTCTCCATTTTCGGCCCATAAGTAAGAATGCCGAGAAAAGAGACTGTCCGTGTCATTTCTCGGGAAAGACTCTATTTGTAGAAGATACAAGTCTAATATAGTTTTTGAAATAATTGTTTGAATAACATTGGTTCTGATATAATTATAAATATTTAATTATTTTAATGTTTGTAAATGTATAAATCAAAAATTTTAAAAAAAAATTATACCTGTCCAAACTAATAATATGATTCGATATATATAAAATGATAATCAAAATTAATAAAATCTCAACATCCAATTAAATATAAAATTATCCACGTACCAATCCACACAGTTCGTTCTAAAAACACCCTTTTGATAGAATATGGGCGAATTCGTTTCCATATCCAACACAAAAAAATTAAAAGACTCCAATCTTTCTCGAATTTTATTTAACAATAAGGATACGTTTTCATAACTTCCACTTTTACAAACAGTATGGAAGTCGAAATTTGTCATGCGCACACGATTCTCGATGCCGTTTCCATTTAAATCATTAACACGCTCTTTATATTCTTTGCTTAAAACTGATTCACCCTCTTTTATACCAAGGAGGTTGATTACATCTACATCACCATATCTACTCTGTAATTCATTGAAATGCCGTTCGACTGCTGGCTGTGTCGCCGCAGGTCCACGAGAAATCTGAATTTTATGCGACATAACTTGGAGACCCTACATATTAATGAAACGTAAGTACCCTTTGCTAACTATATTAATTAAATAATTATAAATGATTTACTTGTTGTTCCCAAAACACTGTTTTAATTAATAAAAAAAAAAAAGTAATCATAAGAATTAATTAAATTTAAATTCTTTCAGATAAAGTCCATTTCTTTTCATACCAGGAACACTGCCACGAATTTGCACATACGAGAAACAAGAAGTAGGCATTTGCAAGATAGTTTCGGTCTAAGGAAGGTTAAATTAGGAAATCAATATATTATAATTCTGAAGAGAAATTTATCAAACGACAAATTTAAAGCATCATAGAAGGTTTCCGTGATAATTTCGATGCATAAATACATATATTTAACGACTTACCTCTACAAAGTTCGCAACATTCCCATCGTCATCAATTCCGCGAGTGTTGTACCGCGTGCCTAACAAATAAAAAAGTTAAATACCATTTTATTTAAATTACGAAAAAAATAACAAAAAACAAAGGATTTAACATACCAGCACGTTTACAACTTAATTTAGATATAACTGATAAAGATACTGGCATTGACCCTATAATTGTTTCTTGCCTACCGATATATCCTTGAATAGCAAGTACCTAAGATTGAGAATAGGTTTACTAACTATAACCGTAAATCCAATATAACTTTATATGTCATCTCGTATACTAACCAAAAATCCACATCGATCCATATCTTCCTGATTTGATTTGCTTAGTTTGGATCGAAAATTCAATAACTCTTTAATCATATATTTATTCCATAAGAAATTATCATCAAAAAAATATTTATCTGCTGCTGTCATCGTTATTCTTTAAGATCAAATAATTGTTAATTTGTTTATAAATCGTTTTAAAACGCGAAATAATTAAATAATTCATACCTTGCAGCCAAAGTTCTTGTGAGATCAAAATCTGATGAAAAATAGAAATGTCCATTTGATAATAACTTTTTGAGTGGCGCACATAAATTTATATAATTTTGTACTGGTTGTTCACTGTGTGGAATCATTATCCCGTCCTCATCATATAATCGAGTAGAGGCATATGAGTTTGACACAGAATCGTAAGAGCTGTTTGTGAGTGAATAAAATTCTACGTCGGATATTCGATGTACTGACTCTCCACGTCTAATTTCTCCAATATGTTGACAATCTGTTACTACTGCCAAAAACATATCTTAAAAGCCATACAAAAGTCGTATTATTACAATAGAGAAAATTTTACAATACTTAATTAATTATCTAATAAATAAATTATTTACAACAAAAAAATCTAGCATACTATGCATTACCTTTTTCTACTTGGAGTAACCCAAGACAGCCATATACAGGCCTTGGGCAAAGTTGTCGATATTCGCTTATATTAAATTCGGTGTCCTTTACAAGTGTGACATTGCATTGAGGACGTTGAAGGTCATAGGTTTTATGGGTATTTTCAAAGACTAATGCAGAATTTGATACGTCTGGATCCGAGTGGTAATTATGTGAGGGTTGCAATGCAAGTGCACGAGGAGAATCTCGAACAAGCAAAACGCATTGCATTATGAAATTCTCAACTTTTAAATATCAAAGTTTAGAATTGATGGAATTTTTCTTGTTTATTTTATAACTGCATTTTCTCAGTGTGTCATAAGGTTGATCGGGCTTAATATTTGGTAACGAATCAAATAATTGAAAAGTAAACCACGTGAAAAATTTTTAAAAAAAGGGAACTTGCATATGGGTCATGGACTAGCAAAATGCCCAATTTATTACTTTTTGAGAATAAAATTTTATCGTTTTTAAGAACATGATGTATATGATATTGAATGTCTCCTTAAACCATATTCCAATTTTAGATTGTCGATCTTTTCTGAAAAAAAGAAATTTTTTATTTTATGTTTAAGCATATTCAGCTTATAAAAAATAAAAAAAAATTCGACGAAAGGCTCGGAGGGGCATTTTACTAATCCATGACCCATATCCGTTTATTTTTAAGAAAATGACAGGAGATTCTACAGAAATTGAAACAACCGAAAAACAAATTTCACACGTGGCAACGACCAAAAATGAAAAGTTATTTGAAAATTTATTAGGAACATTCAATGAAGTAAGAGGTAATAAAAACTATTTCTTTTTTTTATTATTATTATTCATTTTTTCTTTAATTATAGGCATTTATTGATGATAATATACCTGGAGAAGATAGTTGGGAAATTTCTTTCGATGAAGTTGATGGTATTTAATTACTTATATAAATTTTATATTATGATGATTATTTTTTTCAAAAAAAAAAAATTTTTTTTTTTTAGATCATATATCTTTATTTCAGGAAGATGAATTCGTTCGTGAGGCTTTTACAAAAGTATGAAAATTTTTTCATCAGCTCGTTTTTTATTTACTTGACTTAGTTTAATTTTCGTTAATTATTAGGGAATGGATCTGCGAGAGTATGCTAGAAACATTGAAAATGAATTAAGTGGAATCGAAAGAGAACATGAAGTTGATTGTATATGTCGATTTCTATCAATATTATTTTGGATTTCACACCAAATCCTTAACTACTTTTACCTTTTCTTAAGATATTAGTCAAGCAAAAAATTTTGTAGAATTGCATAATCAAATTCAGGTTTATAAAAAAATTATTTTATTTATTGAATTACTTTCTGGATATTTATTACTAATGCTTTTTAATGTTAATAGTCCTGTGATCAAATATTAGCAACAATGGAAGATATGCTAAGTGTTTTTCAAATGGATTTAGGAAATATCAGTTCAGAGATTCAAACATTACAAACAAAATCAATTTCGATGAATATCAGACTTAAGAATCGAACAGTATGTTATAATTTATAACCATATCTTTATTTTAAAAAACCAATTTATATATTTATTTTAATAACTAGGCAGTTGAACAAAAATTGAATACTGTTTTGGAAGGGACTGTTATTCCTCCGCAAATGATCAAGTAATAATAATAATAATAATAATACAATATTTTGTGAATTTATTAGATTATTTCTATGCCTCATTTTAAATTTGTCTTGTTTAGAAAAATTACTGAAGGGGACGTAGATGAAATATGGCTTTCTTATTTAACCGAATTAAACAAAAAAATGACATATGTCAAACGCAATCAAAAAAAGAACGTTAAAGCAATCAAAGATGTTGGCCCAGAATTGGAAAAATTGCGATTAAAAGTATGATTTCAGCTCTATTTTCTATTTAAAAAATTGGGAATTAATTTAAATATATACAAATGGAATTTAGGCAACCGAAAAAATACGGGATTTCCTTTTAACTAAAATTAGGTCGCTTCGTATACCTAATACAAATGTTCAAATATTACAACAATCAGTTTTGTTAAAATATAAAACACTTTATCAATTTTTAATGGAAAGATATAGTGATGTTGCTATAGAGGTTATGCATACTTATGTTAACACAATGCGTTGGTACTTTTTCAATCATTTCGAAAGATATAATAGAGGATTACAAAAATTACAGGTAATTGATATGTTTGAAAGATTTGAACCTTGATATTTAAAAACTTATTATTATTATTATTATTATTATTATTAGAATCCAATCGCCGATAAATATGATATGATGGGTTACGATGAGAGTGTTCGAAAAGGTATTTATTTTATGTTTATTTATTTTCTCAAATGAAAAGGTTTAATATTAATGTATTCAATTTTGTAGCTGGTCTTTGGGGAACTGGAAAAATTGCCCTACAAGATAAAGCAAATATTTATATTTTAAAAGATAGAATTAAAACACTTCGAAATCAGGATGCAGGAGTTATATTGGTTCATGTTGCCGAAAACAAGAGCAAAGTAAGGATATATTCGCAGTTAAATTAAAATAATTTTTATTAATATTTATGTTTTAAAATTTTAATATTTTTATAGGGATATCCATATGAAGCATTATTTAGAAGTTTTAATTTAACCTTTATAGACAATGCAAGCTCAGAATATCTTTTCATCGTAGAGTTTTTCGTAAAGGATGATAATCCCAATGCAGAATTGGCAAAGGACCTATTTGCTGAAATTTTTGATACTACAATCAAAATGGGACTGGTCCGTATTTAATTTTGTTATACATTTATTTATTTGAAATAGTTACTTACTTTATGAAAATTATAGGATTCTACAAAACAATTTGTCGACAATAGTTATGATGCTATTGGAATCCTTCTATGTATTAGACTTAATACACAATTTGCATTAGAATTACAGAGAAGGAGAGTTCCAGCTTTAGAAGGATATACTAATCAAATTAACATGTTATTATGGCCTAGATTTCAGGCTATTATGGATATGCATATTGATAGTGTTAAAAAAGCTGCTACTAAATTGGTTGTTAAAGACATTCATCCACACTTTGTAAGTTTAACTATCAACAAACTTTAGTAAATATTGGTTAATTCCTTTATATTTAATGAAGCTTTATAATTAGATAAGTCGAAGGTATGGAGAATTTGCAGCATCGATATTAATTCTAAATGAAGATTATAATGATCCAATTTTGTTAAATAGGTGAGTTAATATTATTAGTCGCAATAAAATAAAGCTTATAATATAACTAAAAATATTTAAAAAATTCAATTTATTCTATAAAGCCTTTCAAGATTAAGAAATGAGGTTGAGCAATTACTTGATAAGATGTCAAATAATTTTGATCGCAAAAGTCGAATCATATTCTTGATTAATAATTATGATCAAATCATGACTATCTTAAATGTAAGCTCTAGTAACAATATAATATTTATGGAAAGATTCAAGATATTTATTATGATATAATTTATAGGAAACGGGCGGAAAAGCTGTAGAAGCAGAAATTAATCATTTCAGAGATTTATTGAATGGACAAATATCGGGATTTGTTGAAGAAGAATTACAACCATATTTTGAAAGTTTGGTATCTTTTATCAAAAAAGTTGATCAAGGAAAGGATTTAATATCTACGGAGCCGGGTACGAAATTCGATAAATTGTCAAGATTTCAACATTTCTGAATATTCATTAACCTTTTCTTTTTGATTGAATTATATAGAAATATTTGATCAAGTATCATCTGATTTTGCTTTAACATGGAGAAAATCTATAGCATTAATAAATACTTCAGTAATTCAACATTTTACAAATTTCAAAAATGGAACAACAATATTACATGCAGTATTAGGACAATTAATTATTTATTATACTAAATTTTGTAATATTTTAGAAGAAGCATTAAGAGATGGTAAAGTTAGAATTAGACATCAACCTGTTAATGTTCAAAGTGTTATGGTGGAAATTAAGAAATTTAGAAGTAATTTTTAATTTAATTTAATTTAATTGTTGTAATGATGAACGAATATAATCAAATACCTTTGTAGAGATTCAAATAATTACTATACTTCCTCGAAAATAATCAATGAATTTTTAATATCTAATATTCAGTATTATTAAATTAATGTTTTCTTAGAATGAATAAAAGTGATTTTTTTTTATTGAGATCCAGAATATTGAAAGACTTTGAGCGTATACTGTTTATGGAAATGAACTAAGACCTAGCTCATGTATTTGCACGAATGTTTTACGTGTTATTAATATAAATATATAAAGAATCCGTTCATACTGAACTTTTAAAAAAGAAAATATTGTATAACGTAGTCTCGAATCTTTGATTATGAATTTTTTTCTGTAACACAAACATATTTTTAAAGCCAATATATATGGATATTGGAAAAGATTTATCATTCATCTTAGGACAGATATATTAAAATAAAATAAAGTTTATTGAATTCGCCAACGATTTAATCACATGATCTGCAGATTGACCGCAAATTTTCCATTTTAGGAGTTGCATTACTTTTGCGGTTTTCTGGATCCACCCGTTTTGGCTAGATTAAAATCGGAAACAATGGGTTACCAAATATAGAACAATAAAAATAAACAAATCCTAACCCTCTCTCTCTTGTCAACAAAAAAATTTTTCTCAATATGCCACAATTATCCATTGAAAAACGAATAAGAATCTTTGCCTTTCTTGAAAAGTAATATCATCACATCTAAAGAAGGTGTCCATAAGTCTACAGTCACTAGAATTCGTCAACGTAAAGAAAAGATAGGTAGTTTTAAAAATAAAAAAAACCAGGCTATCTTTGAGTAATTTCTGTTCATACAGAACATAGAATTCTCTGACTTATTTCTTCTAATGAATGCTCTACAGCAGTTGATATACAAGAGGTACTCAAAAATCATGATAAGATTCAAATTTCGACTAAAACTATATACCGAACTAAAGATGATACAGCAATTGATTTCAAATTTACAAAATGTTGCAACATAAGCTAAAATTAGTTGCAACATATGT